CCATCGGCACCAAGGCCGATTTGCGCTCGCGCGCATCTATAGGGCTTCAACACAAAAAAATCTAAGAACAGATTTTTTTCGATTCGTCATCGGTCGATCTTTCTTTAGCATGGAAGAACGCTTGATGTCCAATACATTGTTTTCGTTATAATAACAGTTTTTTGTATTATTCGTTCTCAAAGTCATGTACACGCACATGCACACAGAGGCATGCATGGACGAAGCAGAGGAAACCGCAAAGCCATGCGCCATCTACATCCACCTACCTCATTAAGGCCAATCCTAGCAAACGTATCCCCGGGCGCGCATATTTTGGATAGCTAGCTAGCGAAGTAGCTAGTCCTCCGGCTATCCCGCCCCTCTTCAAGTCTCATTGGGGGGGGTAGCGGCAGCAGCAGCAGCAGGACTCAACAGCACTGGAAACGATGGCCGAGCATTCATAATGGCTCCATATACGGCACGTACGGGTTTGCATGTAAGATAGGCCCACATATACATCCCGCGATTTTCGATAGAGATATCGATCGAGATATCTCTATCTCATGCCGGGCCCGGTACCAGACGAAACGGTCCACGGGGTCCGGGGCTAGCTCCTTCTTGCACATTGCCAGCAGTGCTGACTCAGACGTCCACACGTCTTTGCAACATTTGTTGTTGGTGTCACATACATAAAATCATTGCGCCGCTGCCCTCCCTAGTGAGGCACCTTCATATGCCGATCCAACACGTGGTCACATACCGTTGTCTCGCAGACCCGCAGCACACTCGCCATTAGGACAGTGAAAAGCCTGGCAAATTGAAATGCTGCGTTACGCTGTAGTCGCAAGGAGTGATGACGACTGTTCCCTGGACAACATCCGCGCATTTGCCGCGGGCCCCTCTCGCCTCCAGAATCCAGGCTCTACAGACGGGAGGAAGAACAAATTTCATTGCATGGAAGCGGACACTGTGCACTGTTACATGGGCGTGTTAGGTACGATAATGTAGCAAGTTAGTGCGTGCGCTTGTGTGCGAGGGAGCGTTTGCTTTTTGTGTGTAAATAAATTCAGTATGTATAGAGATGTATGTGTGTGTGTTTTACTGCAACGTCATGCAAAACTTCCCAAGAATCCTAACAAACAAACATACATACACACCCACACGCACACGCTCCCACTTACCCAAAACGAGGAACTTCCTCGTGAATGATGAACCCCTGACTGAAAATGTCGAAGCTACAAGGCGTTAAAGTGACCGGGTATGCCAACGGCTCGGGGTCCCAGTCCGGCAAGGAGGGGACCACGGGAATTGTCCAGCATTGACTCCAGTCCTGGCCACTAAGAATGCGGTAGGTGCCATCAATTCCCTCTGCAGGCCCAGCAGGCGCGGGAGCGTACGGGAACGAAAATGCAAAGGAGCGCATCTCTCAGAGAGATACGCCTAAGAAATCCATATGTATGCGCGTCTGTGGGCGAGCGAATGTAGTCGTGTAAGCTTCAGTTACGCTGTAGTAGCTGGCCTCGCTGAAAAGGCCTCACCAGCTGTCGGTGGACGCGCTTAGCGCGTATATGTAGTTGTTATATGTGTTTGTCTGCCTGTCCGTCTGTCTGTCTGCATGTACGCAAAACCTAACTAATCTATCTATGCTGGCATCACGTCATACATCGTGTCTAATAAAAATCTCAACATCTACAGATCCTGCCTTGGTACACATATTAAATAATACGGACGATCCCTACGGGATACATCACCAGCTACCAAGGCACGAACTGTAGACTAGTCATAACTATATAAATGATCGATAACTCCGCAGCTCATGAGCCATTCAGGCCATACTCCATTGAACTCACCTCGTGCAAATATAAATTGTTGGCTTGGGGAGCTGCTGCTGCAGCCAGCCCCGTGAAGCAGACTCCCGCTTTGCGAATCGATGCACACATTCCCACTGATTGGCCATGGCTCATAATGTAACACCTTCTGAAAGACTGCATAGCAGTAAGACCACACAAACGCAAAGGGCTGTAAAATTAAACGAGAACTGCTCCGCTGCCTGTTAGCAGGAGGGGATGACTAGAGTACAAAATAAGGGAAGGCAGACGACGACCAGAAGGCGGAACTAAACGACGGCCCAAGTCCCCCACTTGCTCGTTCCTCAATCTTAGTGACATGATGCAGGCACGCAAACTCACTAAAGGAAGAAGGCACCTAAGAAAAGACGGAAGGATAAAATGCAGTACGGAACCTACACCGCACAGCATACAGCATGTCGAGCAGGAAGAACCCAAACGTTGCAAGGCTTCTCCGTTATTTGAGGCGCAGATATCCCCGAAGATGACTCCAACAGATATCATATCAACATATGCAACCGGCAGGTCACTTCTATCCATCTGTTTGCAGTGGTCCCTTGTGCTAGTGGGCCCTTCCTCTTCTCTGGCTTGCGGTCTCAGCTGGAGCATTTAACACTCCGGTTTTCCAGGTTGCCGTACACGTGTGCATGCTGTCGGTGAGATCGGGGGGACGGACCGGACGTCCAAGGTGCTGAAGCTCTGTCGCCAACCACCATGCGCTGTGTGACCGTAGCAACCTTGCGGGTGGTCTTTTTTTTCGGGGGTTGTTTCGGGGGATGATTGATCCTATATCCTTTGGCGAAGTTCCCGGTAATGTTCATGATAAAACGCCGAACGGAGTAGGGGAACTGCACGACCCCGTTCACGCTGCTGTTTGCTGAGCTCCCTCGCTATTCGTTCTCCCTCATTGCGGCGAAGGTGTTGTCGTTTTTTTGTCGGAATAGGGGAGTTACCCTTACCGCCAGTCGGTGTCCCTTGCGCACACGGCTCTACCGCAGGAGGTCCTCCCGACGTTGAGGGGGATCTCTCATGCGGTTGGGCGCGCAAGCTGTTTTGCTTTTGGGGGAGCTTAGATTTTGATGTATGTGGTGGATTACTCGCTGGGTTTACGAGCGATAATAGCAAGGTAGATTACACCCGCATGCTAGCTACACCTTTGGAGAGTAAAGCGCAAGTCCAGAAAATGCAACACACACACACACACACACATGCACAGACACACACACACACACACACACACACACACACACACACACATGCACAGACACACACACACACACACAGCGACGCATACACGTACACACAAACACATGCCAGATAGATCCGTACCATACGTACATATTTATTTGTATGGATTGATGATGCATGTCCATCGTATTATACGAGCGCAACTACGTGTCGTACCTGGCCGGAAGGCCGGTATCAGGAACTTCTGCGCAGGAGTTCTGTTGCATTCCCAAACTTGAATCGGAGTGCCGTCGGCTGCGCCAGACCATTGGACGTCCAGGCAGAGGCTCGTGTCGTACTTGGGCCGCAAGGCCCATCTGGTCAGAGGGCAAGGAAAAGCGCGGGAAAGCAAGTTATCAAAAGAGGACGGCGGGCAGCTGAATGTTCCGCTGCTTGAGACTCCCAGTGACGGCACGGACATGGGGCGAATGTACGGTATAAGATAGGTACGGTATTATTCTTATCTGCTGCTGGGATGAACGGTATTCGTTGCATGCATTTCATATCTTTATATGTATACATAGAATAGAAAACTGAATTAGCGACAATGGTGATTTGATCTATCTTGTGACAATGCTAGCAGCGCTTGCGTAGACCCCTAAAAAACGGAGCGCACTCCAACTGCGGATGTGCGCATACGCATACACATACAGGGCCTTCGCAGCCACCGCGCGCTTTTACACCGTTGATTACATCAGGTAATGAGACACCGGGTCGCGTGCCCTCGGTCGAGCAGGAGAAGGGACAGTGGCCCCTCACGCCCCCACCCTTTCCCGGGGGGGGGAAGAGTGCTGACTCGGCGGTCTTGTTCGTTTTAGGGCAGCTGGGCAGCAGCCCCTGGCCAGCGCCAGGCCCGGCAAAATATGTAACAACACACACATATGCGCACATACATACATACATACGCACGAACACACACAGCCACTCACCCGTTATCCAGGGTCGAGAGCATAAACTCTTGGCTGGCGCTGTCGTACACGCAGTCCATCAAGCTGATGGAGGTACCCCAGGTGCTGGGGGTCCTCCCGCCGACAGTAACGCACAAACGAACATTGGAGCTGCTGGCAATGCGATAGAAGCCGCCACCTATATACTCAACAATGCACAGACACACTCATCTGTACAGCGGAGGTCATAAAAACGATCTCGGGACAGGCGAGCGGGCGGTAGACGGAGTACCTGGTATCTGCCGTTTTCCAACCACAGGTTTTTGAATTATTTAGGTTTAGGGGTGTTTAGCAGTGTCTCCGATAAGATGTCGAAAATTGGAGAGCTGTTGAGTGATATAGATATCTCAGAAAGTTCAAAGCAGGCAAAAACATGCATTATCAGGCCGAGACGCACGGTGAAGGCTGTAGGAGCTCCCGGCAAAACATAATTGTTTTGTTTTGTTTTCCAGCCGCCGTTGCTTCCCCACTTCGCCACCCTGGCCCCCAGCCATCTGAAACCTACCCCTTTCAAAGAAAATGAATCTGTTGGATCCCAAGGTTGGCTCGTTGGCATTGCAGTCGTACTGCACCAAGGTGCCGCTGCCGCGACCGGTGGTCGTATTTGGCCAAACGCACTTATTGTCAGCAACGCTGGTCAAGATGACTTGCTTAGGCATCTCCAGCTCTGCAGTGTACGGCAGGTACGACAGCCGTACCCATAAACGACGTCAAATTCATCCGCCGGATGCCATGCACGTGCAGCAGGACGTATTGGGAGGTAATAATGTAGGTATGCTAATAACCGTCGATATGTATGTGCACTTGGGGATGCGACGACGGGAGCGATAAAGTGTGTTCGGGGACCGGCAGCAGAAGGAGCACGCGCCAGTGCTGCTGGCCAGCCAGCCAGCCAGCCAGCCAGCCAGCCAGCCAGCAGGAAAGCAACTCGCACCTCATCATCAGCTGAGCATTCGTGATCCGTGGACATCTGGGTCATAACCCAGATAGGCGTCCGCACTCGGCCAAGAACTGACCACCGTCGACGGCGCGTGCGAACGCACCCGTAATTGCTTCACGCTTTCGTTTCACAATCGTGCAGAGGGTCCGGTAAGGCAAGCGCACATATATACATTATACTACATTATATGCATATATATGTATTTATTTAATTACATATATAATTATACATACATACATACATTCGTGAAACACCGCCACTTATTATATCAAGGTGTATACCTTCTTAATATCATCTTACCCACTTCATATATCCTTCATAGTTACCTGGTAACAGCATATCCTTAAGAGGCCACTTAAGCTTCGTAAATCACTTAGCACCATGTCACTGATAAGCTGCACCCGATGCACTTAATACTGAATACCCAGTCCTTTAAACAATATGAAGTAACGTTTATCAAAAAATTCAACAAGTCGGGTGTCGGCTTCCTCGAAGCCGGAAAAAGGGCGGGCCCCCCCTGCATCCGTACAGGCCGGTAGCTAGCACGGCACGTGTGACAATTGATGGGTAGTGTCACTGCGGTGGGAGATGTGCTTTGTTGCAGCAGTACTGATGGTGTGGGAGCTAAGCTTGCACCGGCGGAATCGTCAGCGCCGCCTGCGGGCTCCACGCGAATCGCATCTATACCGGGTGCATGCCGCATGGACAGTGCGGCAGACCGCAAGTCGGAACGCCCGTGCGGGCAAATTGGTAACGCAAGCTGAGCGAAGTTCGGTGCTGTCTGTGATGTTTATCCCCGAAGCGCCAGCAACCTCAGCAATCCGCCCCACAGCCGCGGGCTTCATTGGGGCACACCGCAACTCTTCGGAGGCCCCGTGCATTGGCCAAAGTAAATGTACAAACAAGCAGCTTGTGTATTTCATATAGAAATGAAAGCAAATTTGTTGGCCTGCTGGTGGCAAGTCGGATTGCTCATGCCGGCAAATGGTAACACAAGCTGGGTGTTCGAGTTATCATACGCCGTCATCTCAGAATTCCATTATGAGATACGCGGCAGCTTTCGGGATGAAATTTAGCGCGAGAGGCGTTGATGTGACTTTGGCCTCGGTCAATTGAGGCAGCCAAACTTGTTTGTGCTCATACGATTTTTGTTGGCTACATGCGACATACCTTGCAATAGAGAATGCTGTATAGTACCTATAACGCGGTTCAGCCGGGCGAGATATTATGTTTGGTCCGTTACACACACACGAACAGACACACACGAACACACACACACACACACACACACACACACACACACACACACACACACACACACACACACACACACACACACACACACACACACAGACATGGGCAATCCTACAGGTCGGGGCCCCCCTGGGCGCTTCGCGCTGGGGCCCCGCCCCAAAAAATATGAGGTAACTTATATATATATATATATATATATATATATATATATATATACGTATATATATACGTATATAATACATATATATGTATTATATACGTATATAGGTACGGTGGCACGCATGCGTACCCGGCTTGAATTTTGGCAGGATAAAGCGTTGTGCACTGTTTCCGCTGCAGCTGTAGAGCCGCACAAGCTTGCCGGCATCGGGCGACCCGTCGACCACATTCAAGCAGTCACCAGGACGGTAACGTCCCCCGATCATCCACCTACATGCATTGGGTTCGTAATCTGGAGGAGATGCATTTTTTTGAGTGTGTATTGCTTACGTATGCATTTCTGTACGTTTGTATGTATGTGTGAATGTGTGTGCGTTTGTGTAGTATATGTCGTTGTTGCATCACGCCTTTTGCAGAAAAGAACCGATCGGCGGATGACAGATCCTGTGATACCCAGGATACTACAGTCGTACATTACGGCACACCATCAATACTTATAGGCGCAAGAGCGCGTTTCCAGTATCCCCGAGAGGCCTTTTCGGCGGCAAGCTACAACAACAATATGATAATTTAATAGTATACCATTAAATACGTATTCATAACAACAATGACATGCCACCATCATCATCATCATAGTAATAGTAATAACGATAATAATAATTAATAAATAATAATAATAATAACAATAATAATAGCAACAGCAACAATAACAATAATAATAACAACAATACAAACAATAATAATAATAATAATAATATATGATAATGATCGCTTCAGCATTAACTATAAAGGTGTGTGTTAAGGGGGCAGGTGTGGAGAGGTTAATGGGTTTTTACACAAAGGCACAGTTGCTACTACAGCGCCGCGATCGCGAATGTATAAAGTCGGGCTCATCACTTCTAAATCAACATTTTGAACACATTGACTTGCAGTCTCGCACACATGTGTACACACGCAATCTCGTACGCACACGCACACGCACGTACCATCGGCCTGTGAGCGGGTGAAAGAAGAATTCCTGCGAGATGCTTACCCCTCCAGAGCAAGGTTGCAGCACCAGGCGAGCGCCGCCCCATTCAATATCGCCCGCTGCCAGACATACATCCCTTTTCCAGCTCGGGCTGATTCGGAAGGTACCCCCAGCTGCACACATACATACAGACCAGCAGGCGTCAGACAGAAAGGCAAGCAAACAGACAAACAGGCAGACGGGCAGGCAGATAAACAGACAGGGCCAGGGCACCAAGGCTAGGAATCCAGACCCAACTTCCCGCAGCATACATCCCATGGAGTGCGTTCCATGTATTTTTCAGATCAGGCAGGCAAGCAGGCAAGCAGGCAAGCAGCCATGCGGGTGTGCCCTCAGGCAAGCAGCCATGCGGGTGTGCCCTCAGGCAAGCAGCCATGCGGGTGTGCCCTCAGGCAAGCAGCCATGCGGGTGTGCCCTCAGGCAAGCAGCCATGCGGGTGTGCCCTCAGGCAAGCAGCCATGCGGGTGTGCCCTCAGGCAAGCAGCCATGCGGGTGTGCCCTCAGGCAAGCAGCCATGCGGGTGTGCCCTCAGGCAAGCAGCCATGCGGGTGTGCCCTCAGGCAAGCAGCCATGCGGGTGTGCCCTCAGGCAAGCAGCCATGCGGGTGTGCCCTCAGGCAAGCAGCCATGCGGGTGTGCCCTCAGGCAAGCAGCCATGCGGGTGTGCCCTCAGGCAAGCAAGCAGGAGCAAAGCTCATGTGTATACACCATACCTACAAATTTATATAAGGGAGCTTTATGCTTCTACGTATGCTTGTTTGCGCACGTGTGTGAATATACTTATATGATGTGTGGGATAGGGGGGTCCATATCTTCACCCGTGGCCGCTACCCGGCGAAACCCCGCCTTCCCCGGTATTTCGGGGCACCCTCATCCAGTCACCCTAGTCAACTTCTCAGTGGATCGCTCAGGTTCCGCACCCACCACCGGCATCCCACGGAATCTGCCGGATCGACGGCGGCTCAATTCCATTCCTGGTCAGCTCACAAGTCAACTTTGTCCCAGGTCACCACCGTCCATCGACTAGGGACCTTCCACCATCGGAAGGATTTTCGACCCGAGGTCTCGATCAACCTCCCTATACTTCTATATGCATAATATATACACACACGCGCACATAAAATAAAATAATAACATATACACACAAAAAGACACAGCTTACCGATATGCATGAAGGCAAACCTCTGTAGCTTGTCCTTGCCGTTACACGGCTGTTGCACCAGTTCATTCTGCCAAAGGCTCACATTAGGTTGCAGAGAAAGGCAGTTACCCCGCGCTGTGCCCGTGCGGATGTATTGGCCGTCTGTGGAGGTGGCGTAGCCAGCAGATGTAGCCAGCAGCGGCGTGGGGCGCATGGGGCCCCAGGAGGCCGGAGGCAGGATGAAAAAGTATTATTGGGGTTCTGTAGGAATGGTGGTTGAGGGCGGCAGCTGTGCAGACATGCATGATGGCGACACGGACGAGGTTTAGCTACGTACGCATTGACGAGGGAGGGGTGAGAGAGGGGTGAGGGAGAGGTGAGGGGGAGGTGAGGGGGAGGTGAGGGGGAGGTGAGGGGGAGGTGGGGGGAGGTGAGGGGGAGGTGAGGGGGAGGCGAGGGGGAGGTGAGGGGGAGGCGAGGGGGAGGTGAGGGGGAGGTGGGGGGGAGGTGAGGAGTGCGGGTATTTGACTCACCTATGAACGCCTGAGAAGGCAAGGGTGGTGGTGGGGACGGTGGTGGCGGACTCGGAGGTTGGTTCGGAGTAACAGGGCCGTAATAGTAGTAGTCTGTAGGGAGGTGGACACGAAAGCGAGTTAATTTGAGTAGTGGACGACCCACACATACATACATACATACATACATACATACGTACATACGGGCTGGCAGTTTTACTTTGCCACAGCGCTACGTAACGGGGTGGGGTGCAGTAAGCGGGCGATCCAAAAGCCTCGCGGGCGATTACAGCCAACCGCCAACCGCAGAGGGCTAAACCCGAAGGATATATGGTTTGTGCTGCTGAGCCTCCACCTCGCTGGATGAATCCTGCAATCTGCTATCGTCATTCTTGTCTTGTTCCGCTCGCTTCTAGTTTGCGAAACTTAATCCAGTTCAGCAGAACAAGTTCCGGAACACTCGGGGGTTCCAAGCGAAAGTAATAACCAAACTAGAACCATTATCAAATTATTTAAAATCTATTAATAAGTTGGATAAAATAAATAAATAAGTTGCACTGGAGACTTCGTGACGGAAGGTCAGGTTAAAAAAAGGGCAAGGTGAACTTGAGTGCGGCTTCGGTTACATCTTCGGCGCAATCAAAGCTCACCATCGGGACGAACACCTGAGCGCGCAGAGACGCATACGGCCCCCACGGCCAGTGCCACCCAACGTAGGGCGGACCAGCAGCTGGCGATCTTGCCGCCCACCATGCTTGGCAAGGCAAAGAAATCAAAGTATATATTATAACCTTAGCTCAAACCTTGACAGTGCTTACTGCGTTTGTTACGAGCTCTTCAGGTGAACTCCTTTCCTACCTTATCTCTTACGACGCACACTTTGCAGCGGCTGCTGTAGTTTATTGCAATGTTTCGCATGTGCAGCTTTTCCTGGCAAAAGACCATAGATAAATGCGCGTCTGAGAGCATCGCATGCAGTACCCCCTACAGTACCGACCAAGCAAACGGCCGATCCCGGGTGGGACCTGAACGGGCTGGCGTCGAATTTGTAGTTTTAAAGCTGTCCTTTCCCAAAACGAGGCAACCATCTCACAGCCACATCATGTCCATTAAGGCTTTAATTATACACGTCGTCGTCTTTCCTGCCACAGCCCTCTGACCTCTTCATTTCCTGCCGGGCAGCGTCCGAAAGCAGCTTCGGAGCACGCGGGCTGAACACCGCACTTTCGCCGACCTGTGAATTACTTGGCCACGTGCACGCGTGTTGCTACGCCAGTATCTTGGCGCTTAATAACTTGAAAATAGCAAACGCAAAACGACAAGTTTACGCTTTGTCTTGCGTTATGGAAGGTTAAAAAACATTTTACTCCTGAAATGCCCTCGGCACGCGTCGATCTGGGCACCCCGAAATGCCTACTCTAATGTCTCAACTTTTGGTAACAATACAAGCGGCCGGGGATAGAAAACAACTCCTCTCTCAGGAGGGGCGGATCAGCCAGGAACGACGACATTTCAGCAGCAGACTCAAAGCCATAGCAGAGTTTCCTAACCGTCCTTACACACAGGACGCACCCAACACACGCCAAGCTCCGGCGGTGGCAGGGCAATACAGACGTGTTATCATAATTGCAATAAATTTACAAAAGTAACTGAAGATACCGGGGATTTCGGGTTGTAAACGCCGGCAGCACGCCATTATTCGCCGCCCGCCCCTGCCACCCAAACCGCTCCCAACCAAAAGTCGCTATTGTCTGGTGCTTCCTATGTATCTTGCACACAGGCATCCATTCCTATCCAATTGTGCATCTATGAAATGTGTCTGTGATATGCACAGAAACTCCGGACATGTCGGCTCCGCCACCGTTGGAGATCAACCTTTTCACGGCGATTCATGCCCCGCTCATGGCCCGAGGAGATGAGGATGGGAGAATGAGAAGAAGCAAGGAGGCGATGTAGCAGCTCGCGGTGGATGGCGTTCCCCTACCTGGCCCTACCCACACGCACCTAACCCGCATGGTTCCAGACTATGCCTAGGGAAACCCCCAGCGGGGGTTCTGCAAAAAATGGTTCTGCAATCTTTTTTGAGGACAGCCGCACTGAATCAGGTTAAATACGATACGATAGAAATAGACATGAAGGCTTAGTAATCTGGAGGACGGATGGAGCGCAAGAGGTTTCGCCGTTGTAGAAACCGAAGCCGTACTCCTGTGTGTACGACAATGGTTTTCTCGCTTTTTTAGAATCTCTTCCTGAGTTCCGTTACCCTTCAATTCCTTGCTGACTTCAATGCTCTTAAGGCGGACGTGGACGAAGTGCAATCATGGAAAACCGAAACGTTAGGAAGGTACCTATTTCCATTACTATTTTACGGAACAGGTTTTTAACGGTGACAACTGCCAGAAGCAACTGCCACAGCAACTGCCACAGCAACTGCCACGAACAGCTGTTCCAGTTTGGTAATGACTAATGGCAACTTTTAAAATTAGCCGCAACATGTGAACGACCCCCCAGGGTACGCGCGCGTACATACATACATACATACACGCGTACACAAGACCATAAATCGTCCATTCCGTTTCAATTTTTTACTTGATCACCGATGCTTTTGCTCTTGCTTTCCGCCACCAACATCACTGCCGCCAAGCGTGCCGCCGCCTCATCCCTCCTTGCAACCCCACAGCCGCAATCTATAGTGCATGCATACGTACATACATACGCAAAAAATTAAGAATCCTAGAAAACGCATGTTCCCCCAACAAATATCAACCTTAAAAAAGCGCCTTTGAATTGCTTCCATTAACCAAGAACTCCTCGCCACCGCAGCGAAGGAAACATTCTGTCCGGAAAACATCAATATCAACGTCCCTAGTTTATCCCTCTGACGTCTGGATTGCATCGATATCCGATAGCCGTATCCTAATTAGGACTCCTCCTTGCCCGGCCGTCTCACTCGTCAGGCACCCTGCATTGCGCGCAGGTCCCGCTCCGCCTGCTCCAGCCGTCGTACGCGGTACGGCAGAGCGCGCTGCAGGGTCTCCAAGGACTGTTCCCCCCCCCGGGGGTGACAACAGAGCGGGGTGAGCAATGGGGGGAGGGGGAAGGGAAGCGGACAGGCACTTGGGGGGGAGTTGAGGAGGAGGGTTGTGTTTTAAAGATCTGAGCCGCTAAGTAAATGGCGAGGATGGCGCAACGGGGCTTGGTGTGTGTGTGTGTGTGTGTGTGTGTGTGTGTGTGTGTATGTATGTATGTATTCAATTTAATTGTCGCCGCAAGAAGTGCGTCATATAGGTGAAAGAAAGAAGTCACAGTGTGCAGCCGAAGTATTCATTACCGACGAGCCCACTCGTCGTCCAGGAATGAGGTAGCAGAAAATAAGTTGAAGTCTCTTAAGTTGCAGTATATGGGAAGAAAGCTGCCAATGCGAGTAGAAGTAGCCGGGGGCGCTGTAGTGTGGCGATGTATAGTGGCGGTATGGACTACTGACTGGGTGGTGGTGATTGGCGGCTCACTAAGAGCCCACTAATGATATAACTACTATACTACTACTGCGACCACCACTTACCACCACCATCATCAGTACTACTGCTACTACTACTACTACTACTGCTACTACTACTACTACTGCTACTGCTACTGCTACTACTACTACTACTACTGCTACTGCTACTGCTACTGCTACATTACTACCACTACATTACTACCACTACAGGCAACGCAGAAAAAAAGAGAGGCGCGGCTAGATAAGAGAAACACAAGGCAAGACCAAAACTAGTACGACTAAGTACGACAAAGCATGGTTACTGGCAGCCATAGCCCCGTTCACTGAGAGGCAGTTGACATCGTGCATATAAGTTTTAACTCTACCATGCGCGAGCATATATACACTCCCCCCTTCCACAGTCCGCTAGCGCACTGACGTGGCTAGCTACCTGTCGAGTCAGCAGTAGCTCTTGTCTCAGAGACTGCAGCCGGGATGTGGCCTGCGTGCGCGGAGGGGGGGGACGTGCGGGGAACCGCCGGGGGGGGGGAAGAGTTAGGGGGGAAGATGTGTTTAGGAAGAAGCGGGACAGGAGTTGGAGTAGTAGGAGTAGTAGGCGGAGGGAATTGTGGGCGTTCAACGAAGAACGAAAGCAGAGCTTTGGAACCGGGAGACAGATAAATAGACTGACACACTGACTGACAGACAGACTGACACACTGACTGACAGGAGGCGGACAGGCAAAAAGGCGGAACTCGGCGAGCTTTTGGTCAAGTTGTTGAACACATACTTGAACAGCAGCGCGGTATCCTATATCCCAATTCGGATCTCTCCATTAATCGGCCCCCGCTACGGATATGACATATGAGGCTGCACACTCCGCCGTACTCACCGCCATACACACATACACACACACATACATACATACATACACACACCAAACCCATCCCGGCGGCAACTGAGTTACCTACATCTACAACCGACCCCTGGGTCACCACGCGATTGAAGTGCTGCTGCACTGCTGCAGGTACCCAGTAACCGCCACCCGCACCGGCCTGTCTGCGGCAACGAGGGTGAGGAGCAGCTGGGAGGGGTGAGTGAATGAGAGACGCGTGCGGGTATGCCGCGTGTACGGCAGGAGCACGTGGGTCTTAGGGAAGGGACGTCAGCACAGCTCCTAACCCCGCTCCCCAAACCCTTCCCCCCCACCATTATCTGACACTCCCCCCAATCCAGCTCCTCTCCCTCGCCCTGTCGTACTCCCCTGCCGTACTCCCCTCCCAATCCCGCCCTCGCTCACCTGGCCCGCTCCACCTCCTCCACCTGATATTCCCCCCCAACACACACATACATACGTACACACATCGGGGTGGCACAACCGTCACACGGGTTATTACAGGGTTATTACAGGGTTGGGGAGTTGTTAAGGGATCAGCGGCAAAAAGCCCCCCCTACAGTCAGCATATCGGTGCATTGTCGTACCAACGCAGTTGCGTCATCGCTTCGGTCGGCAGTTGGTACGACTGAACGTCTTCAGCGCAAATGATACCTGATGAAGTTCCCATGAATTCCGGTAGCAGTTGCTCGTTTTAGACTTTCGTTCACGTACTTGTATAATTCCCACCACACCGACCAGCCACCCAACTCCCCAGCCTCCCTTTCCCCCCCCACATACATACATACATACATACATACATACATACATACATACACACCTGGTGCTGCAGCTCCTGCCGCCGTCGGACCTCCTCAACGATCCGACGTCGAGTTGCCGCCAGCTCGGAACGAGCCTCCTACGAACCAGCAAGTAAGGCCCCCCCCCCACATACATACGCGTAGATAATACGGGCCCACCCCACCATCCCCACCTAAGACCCGGGGCAGTGGGGATCTTGTGTATTGTGAAAGGGGGGGGGCGGTGCGGAAGCCTTGAAGAAGAAACAACTGCTGACGCCCAAAGAAGCCTCTTTCAGAACGGATTTTGGGGTGATGTGTGCGTATGTGCGTATGTAGGGACGTATACGTATGCATGTATATATGTATATATGTATATATGTATGTACGAATGTATGGGAGAGAGAGCGTCACGTGCTCTGCTATCACCGTTTCCCAAACGGTATCCGTACCGTGCTCGTTACAACCGCTAACCGTACTAACGTACGTAGATACGCATGCTGTTGTCGTTATTGTTATTAGTTATAGAGTTCACTTTCTTCGCCAGTACGACATGATGGTGGCAAAGGGATACTCACAGACATTGCCTAATACATTGCCCAATACTAAGAAAATGTCAGAACGATGGCGGGCTACCCCTAGCCTTTAACATGATTCCCGTATCGTACCGTGCCGTACCGCACCCGTACCTGTACGGCAGCCTGGAGGCGATACAGCGCCACCCGTCGGCGGTGGCGGCGCTCTGATGACTCGCGGGTGTAGCTGTCAGGTGGAAGTACGGAAATATTCAGTTGTCGTTACGGCTATAGCAGTTACAATTAATGTACGGTTCATGCAGCGTGAGCCAAGGTCCTGGGCATGGTGGTTACTCTGCTATTGGTGCTATAGCTGCTATTGCCGGTGCTGTTGATGGGCGGCTCTCGTCCCGAGAAAGGACCGAGAGCACCGGGGGCCCTGACCGGGGGCCGAAACACACCAGCGCAGGGACGGGCGCGCGGCTCTACGTCCGTCTGTTCCTCTCCGCGCACACCTCCCTCACTCACGCCAACCTCACGGGACGCTCTCCCAGGCCCTGGCTGGGAGGCATCACAGCGGCGCAGAAGACTGCGAACCGAACTAAGCGAGAGCCGCACAAGAGGCGCCACATATCATTGCTGTTGTTGCTGCTGTTGCTACTGCTGCCATTGCGGGTGGTTATATCGAGGAGAAAGAAAGGGGTGCACTCACGCGCGCACCTCCTAGTGGATCAGTTTACAACGGCGTGCGCATGTTACCTTAAGTTACAAGTGCCGCACGAGTGCGGGGGTGTCCGTCAAAGCCGGGAGGCCATGGACTGCGTATGTATGTATGTCCGAGCACCAAAAGTCCCTCCTTTCCTTAGTTCCTATTTGTTCCGACCCCGTGGCCCCCGCCACGGCCCCCGCCCCCGGTGTCAGCCTTTGCCAACACGTACATACGTACATACATACATACATACATACGTACAAAACACAGGCATGAGACACGCGAAGTGAAGACGCGATGCCCTCAACTATTATGCAATATCAAGCCATGCAACCCCGGGTGCCACCTCACCGCGCTTTAAACCTCTCTCGCCAGCTGCTGCTGCTGCTGCTGCTGCCGCGACAACCGCCGCTACTGCTGCTGGCGCCGCCGCCGGCTGTGCTGCTGCTGCCGCCGCGGCCGACAGCAAAGCCGTCGCCATTGCCGACGGCGGCTCGCGGCGCCTCAGGAACCTGTCCTGCAGCAGCACGCAAAGCGCCAGAAGTTGCTGTCGCCGCCGCAGCGGCGGCGGCGACAGCTGCGGAAGAAGGAATGGAGGCAGCGGTGCCGTCGGTGGACGAGACCTCACGACTACCGTTAACCCCGCCGCCGCCGCCACCTCCGTCACTACTGCTCGTCCAACTGCACCGTAGTACGGTACCTGCCAACCGCGCTGCCGCGGCCGCCGGCGCATGTGAGCCAGGCCATGTGCCAGCGCTCGGCGGCGAAGTCGTCCCACTGCCGTACTTATGTACGTCACCTCGGGCCAATGGCAACTGCAGCGCCGCTGACGCCACCTCCGCTGACGCAGCATTTCGCTGCCGTACGTCACCTCCATCACCGTCTCCTCCGCCGACCCCTGGGCTTACCCCAGTGCCCGTCATGCTGGCCTGCCGACTGAGCCCAACCGTTTCCCTAACCGCTAACCGTTTCCGGCCACCGTCACCGCAAGCCAGCGTGCCGCCGCTGCCGCTGCCGTGTCCCTCCGCTCCATTCCCTGCGCCTCCACACCCTGTACGGCCGCTGCTGTCGCCCCCGCCGGGTCTTCCAGGCGCCGATCCATCACCGCCAAAGTGCTGCTCGTATAACCTCGCCCAAAGATCCTCGCAGCACTGTACGGCATCATACAGGCAGCGGCAGCTGCGGGCTGCGTGCGCAGCGTCTTGCAGGCTCAGGACGGGGCAGCTTAGTACGGCTGCCAGTACGGCTTCCGTCATATCGGTGAGCCGGATGTGCGTCGCGCGGCGCGGCGGCGGCGGCGGCGGCAGCAGCAGCGAAGACGGCGGTAATGGCAACGTTGCAGCTGCCTCATTTGACGCTGCTAGCGCTGGTGGTGTTGGCGCTGTTGGTGCTTGTGCCAGTGCTGATGCTGGCATGGATGTTGGTGATCTTCTTGGTTCTGGAGCTGCGACTTCCTCAGGTTTTGATGGTGGTTCGGATGTGGCTTTTTCCGCATGTGCTGCTGGGGTAAACCTGGCGGATGGTGGTGAGGTGGGGGAGGACGAACCACGAACGAGTGGGGGAGGGGAGGATGTGGAAGAACCCGATGTTGGAATGGGGGGAGGCAGCAGCCGCTTGTTTGGTGAGGGTGCGGGTGGTGACGTGGCCATGATGATGCCGTTGTGGGTAACTGGAATTAACGGTTGCTGTACGCTTTTACATACTGCCTCTGCTGCTTCAGCTGTTCCTGCTGCTGTTGCTATACTGCTACTCCTGTTGTTGGAGCTGCCTTGGGAAGGCGTGAAGATGCGCTGTGGTTGTGAAGGGAGCGGGGGGATGAAGGGAACATGTCGGGGTAAGGCGGTGGGGAAGAGGGGGTAAACACGTGGTGGAGGCCGGGTGCTTGACGGAGCGACAAGCGCCATGGGGTGCGTAGGGGACCACGATGGCCTTAGGTTGTGACGGCGAGGTGTTGAAAAATGGGTAAACGTGGTGAAGCGAAAAGATACCCAATCGAACATGTGCTCGGGCATGCACGTCACGCACGGTAAATTGCATGAAGCGGCACTGGGCCTCGCTGGGGGTGCTGGAGAAGGACAACGTGGCGTGCAGTGCTTGGTGTTAAGGATGTTATTGCTGCGTGGCGATTGATTTAAGCTGCAAGGAGCGATGCGCCGCAGGGTATATAGCCCTAGCGTATTTGGTCAAAGCCCCCCGCTGTAAGGTTAGGACTGGAAAACAGTAGCCATGAGCTGCCACTATTAAACAGCAAGCGCAAAATTATACATTCGTGGTAGAAGTCTGATTTTTTTCCCGCAAAGCTCAACCAACTCACGCAGCGATGTCCCGACAGGTGCAAGCTTTGATGAAGGAGCAAACAATTTTGAATAAGCACGACAACTTTGTACTAAGGAACGGTGCATGTTGAAGCGTGCATGCGCTACTTAGTTGTGGAAGTCTGGGACACAGTAAATTGTCGCACGGCATGTACAGCGTACTTTCAAGGTAACTCCGTTGGTACGATGACCATCTATGCCATAGAGCATGCACAGGTCGTCTTGAATGTCTTGAAGTTTTAATAAACAGCACACCCTACGTGTATTGCTGGAATCATTATTGTAATGTAGATTTGGTAATGTTTCGACGGCGTAACAGTTTAAAAAATATAGTCCATGGTGCTATAAGAATATACAAGTACTGCGAGGTCTTTGCCTGAAGCCTATCCGGTCTTGGTCACCAGACGGCAAGTAGCTCTCAACGCCGTCGGAACGTGGTCAGCCGCCCGTTACCTGATACAGCTTTGTCAAGATGCAGATGGCGCAGGGCATGGGGGGAATGGGTGGCTCAACTGGGGACGATGACGCTCTCGAAAGCTTCCTTGACTCTTACCTGACGAACGGTTTTGGGACGACTGGAAACAGCGGCTTTGGAGTGGGCATGCAGCAGCAGCAGCTCCAGCAAGCTCCGCAGCAGTTACTCGGAGCCTCACTCCCCGGGCAACCGCAAATGCATAGCTCTATACTGCGGCCTGCCAGCTTCGGCCAGCCACCAATGCAAGTTCCTATGCAAGGTGTTAACGGAATGGGATTATCAAACGTCGACGACACAGCCAACATGAGCATACCGGCACTTCAGGCGCTATTACGTCAGCGGCAGCTTCAACAGCAGCAAGCCAGCTTTGGCGGAGTTGCTGCAGCTCCTTACGGTCAGATGACAGGCATGAGTGGCGCAAGCAATCCTGGCTTGCTGCGCCCGACCAGCCTTCAGGACCATTTGTCAGGGACCGTTAGTTCCGATCTCAGCACATGGCGACCAACGTTGGGGACTTTGCCGTCGACGACCGGCATGCAGACTTTCAACGCCAGCAACGGTAGGTTTGCACCAGGCGCTTCCCCCCAGCCCTGCCACATCAGGCACCCTCCCTCCGGTTGCTGTCGTATATATAACCGTTGGCGCACTGACAAACGCAACAACTCCCTCGCAACCCACAGGCGCCCAGTTTGGCAGCAGCGATCAGCAGCTGCAGGGCTTCCAGGACACCACCGCCTACCAGAACCTTCTGGTGGGTGAGGAGAATCGCAGCAGTCTGGAAGGAGGGTTGCTCTGCTGCCGCATGAATCAATTGCATGCGTGCACGCACGCACACGAACACACGGGGAAACTCCTGCCCGGCAGCCGGCCGGGAATCTACACCCCAAACCCCAATCAAGCGCAACAGAGCACCTGGCGGGCGGGCTGCGTCGGACGCGTTGGACGCGCCAGCGGCGCACTCAGGGTTGCAGCGCGACCACCCGGGGTACCTTTCGGCTCTGATTTGCACATGGTTGGCAGCAACCGCCAGCTGCGCTAAACCAAGAGGCTGCCGCCAGGCAGACGCATTCATTCGTTATCTGCCATTCCCTACCCCACCGGCGCCGTCGCGTCAGACGCCCCAAGCTTATCCGCCTCCATTGCATGTGGCCCCCCATCCTCCCGATGCAGGCTCCCGCGCCCGTGTTGCGGCCCTCTAGCGACAGCCTCCTCATCAACCAGAGGGGGGTCATGGGCACCCCCATCAACCTGCAGGTATGCGTGCGTGTGTGGGGGTGGAATGGCAAGGGCGTGTTTCCCCTGCGGCGAAAACGCCTGCAGGACGTCTGGCCTGAGACATTAGACAATGCAAACGATGTTTGTCAGTGTGTTGTTTTAAGTGCTTTTTTTCCCTCCACCCCGGTGGATTAAAAAATTGCGTAACATCTGGGGTGGGGGGGGTGCGGCGGGTGTGGGTGGTCGTGGTAAGTGGTCGTGGTGTGGCCCGTGTGCAGCCTCGTGACTTGATGAGGAGGTCAAGTGGCCTTGAGGGCAGAGCAAACAACGGGAAGAGATTGCCTTTTGGGAAAACCCGTTTCCTGTCCGGATAGACGGACAGACGGACAGATGGACACGCCTTTGCGCAACCCTCGCAACAACCAGCTACACAACTCAACTTGGGCAAGGAGGGCCGATGCGCGTCCTGCACACACAAACAAAACACACACGCATGTGCACGTCCTGCATGTACATCGGGGGCCCCCTGATCTCGCTCTGATTGAATTCCGCGACGACTGTTGGGACTGCTGCAGGGACACGGGCTGTCTTCGTTGCGGACCAACTCCCTGTCGGCGCAAACGGCGGCAGCTGGGGCGGCCCCGGCAGGTGGCAGTGGCGGTGGTGGTGGTGGTGGTGGAGGAGCCAGTTTGCTGGGCGGAGCCTCCAAGAAGTCCACGTGGGATGTCACCACTACGCCTGTGGCGGAGGGCAGCGACGACAGCAGCGGTGAGAGGGGCCTCCCAGGGGTGCGGGTGCGGGTGCGGAGGGAGGAGGGAAGGGTCCCGGGTCCTGGGTCGGCTGCGCCCCTTGACGAGGCGGGGCGCACGGAGGGCAGACAGCTGGCAGCGGGGCGGTCAGCGGCATATCGCCGCTGAGGAAGCGAGATGTGCTGAAATACCGGTGCCTTGGGCTCTCAGGTGCAGGGTTACCTGCTAGGCTCTGATTGTGTAGCGGCCGTTTTTGGGGCGGAAAGGTTGAGATGGAGGGGAAGACGGAAAGGTTGAGATGGAGGTGAAGACGAACCACAGACGAGAGATGCTGATGACACGAGCACGGGCACGTCCTCTGATTGGCAGACAAGTTGTGGAGTGGAGTGGAGAGGTTTTTGTTGTTGGGGGGGGGCCGACTGGCTAGCGGAGGCTGGAGCTGTGGTCTCCGAGACAGAGGCGAATGCGGTGAAGGGGGAGGGTATGATCAGCGCAGCGAAAGGCAGCGGCAAGAGTAGCGAGTAGCAAAAGCGTGACAGCAGATGATGCAAGTAGTAGCAGCAGTAGCAGTAGCAGCAACAGTAGCAGTAGCAGCAACAGTAGCAGTAGCAGTAGCAACATACGTGTTTCCGCTCTTACATAAGAAACAACGCCCCTGTCCACCACCAGAACGTGGACAGACACCCGTTTGTGTGTGTGTTTGGCATGTGGGAAAGAGATCTTCACGGCTTAATTGATTCCACGTCACACATGAGCCGTCCGTCGACGGGGGTTCCTTCGACGGGGTCTCACATGGGGGGGGGGCCCTGCATTGCGGGACCTGCACACCGCCGCAAACGCCTCCTCGTCCCCCGTTTACGTTTCTCTTCGGTGTTCACACTACATCTTCCATTCCACACGGGGGCTCACCTTTCCATTTTCGCCATTTCCTTTGATCTGCTTGCTACACCGCCCCGGCCCTCCATCCCTCCCTCCCCGCCCTTTCACCACACCACGCCACGCCACGCCACGCTACTATTGATCATTTCACAACTCGCTCGCTTCCCTTCGCAATTATTTTGCTTTGTGATGTCGCAGAGGATGATTCGGGCCAGCGGCGGCGAGTAAAGGGCCGATCGGGCTCCACAAACCACCAGTCCTCAGTCCAGGTGTGTTGCATCACGTATCGCACATCACAAGCCAAGGCTTGGAGCTGGTCCTCGGGCGCAGGCACAGTTATATTCCCTTCTTTGCTTGGCTGTGCCATTGCCGCTCGGAATGGAGAGTATTTTGACATTTTCTGTGGCATGTCTGTCCACCGCAATATCCACCACTCTCGAACTCCCCCTTTGTTACTCTCTTGCCCTGGCAGCAGCTTCAATCGTGTGTGGTTCGTCTTTCCCCCTTTCCTTGCCAATCTTCCTGCTTTCCTGTCTTCCCTCCCGCCCTCCCTCCCTCCCTCTCCCTCCCGTCCTCCCTCCCGCCCTCCCTCCCGCCCTCCCTCCCTCCCTTGTTCCGGACTTTGTAAAGTTTTTCACCGATACTGGACTGTTATATGATGGCATCGCTTTTCCTTTCCTTTTCCTTGTGCGCTTCCGATCCCCCGGTCAGCAGCAAGAGAAGAACCGCAGCGCCCAACGGCGCTTCCGACAGCGCCAGAAGGAGAAGATGGCGTACTTGGAGAGCCGTACCGAGGTGCTCACTGTGCAGGTGGGTGGGTTTCAGGTTTAGGTAGGCAGGGGGTTTGGGGGCCGTAGGGCAGCATCACGCCACGGAGTGGAATTTTCCACCACTTGAATGATGGAATGGGTGGGCAGGTTATCCCCGCGTCCTCGTCCTCCTGCTCCCCCCCCTCGTGTGCACCGTCCTGGCCCGCATCTGTTCTGTTCTCACGTCGCTGTCGACTGCCTTTTTTTCTCGTTAACCCGGTAATCGCGCCCCAACCTGTAATTCCCGGTATGTTGTGTTTTTCTTCGCTATCTTCCTTATCTTCCTTCTCCTCCTTCTCCCCTGCCGGGTGTTTGAGCTGGAGCGTTCGGGGTATCACCCGGGTTCGCTTTGCTTGTTTTTCTCTCTCTCTTTCAAGTCCCTCCTCTTTCTGTCTGTCTGTCTGTCCAGGTTGAGAAGCTGACCCAGGAGAACGAGTCCCTTCGCAACATGAACACCATGCTAGAGAAGGTGCTCAATCTGAGGGAGGAACACATTTCAAATCTGCAGGTGTGTGTGAGTTGGGGTGGGGGTTGGGGGGTGATGGTGCCGGCGGGGGGTGCGGGGTGGTGGTGGTACCGGCGGGGGGTGCGTGTGTGTGTGTATATATATAGCTGCGCGTTGCCTGTCCAGGGGGCCAGGCCCCGGCGGGGGGAAATGATGGAAAGTGCCACAACAGAGGCGGACGGTGCATTGTGCTGGCAGCAACCTGGCTATGTGCAGGTTCGTGTGGGCAGCACTCCCATTATATCGGCTGTGTTTGTTGTTGTTGTTGTTGTTGGTGGTGGTGGTGCTACTGGTGCCGCTCCCGCCGCCATATTCCCGCCGCCACTGCTACTGCTGCTACTGTTGCTACCGCCACTGCTACTGCAGGAAGCCGCCAAGGTATTCTCCAACCTCAATCTGCGGGGGACGAGCGAGGGCAACGACGGCAGCGGCTCGGGGGAAAGTGTGATGTCGGGTGACGTGGCGGCCAAGGTGCGGCGGGGGGTGGGGGTAGCGGGGGGTGGGGAATGGGGGAGGGAGGGAGGAAGAGATGGAGGAGTAAGACCGGGCGTGGATCGTCCCCTGCATTGACTCCTATGATACCAGCATCCCGTATCTGTCCGCGGAACGGTGTCTTGCTACATCACATCCCCCTCTTTCCCTGGCAGCAGCTTCACTCGTTCGTGGTTCGTCTTTTTCACCTTTGTGTGGTGTCCTGGCTTGAGTTCTGGTTGAGTGTTTTAATAATTCGTCTTCTTTCAGTTTCCATCCTAAGCTGTGCTTTGGCGTGTCGCTTTCAGCTGGGCTTCAAGTGTCATGACCCCGGTATTGTTTATTGTGTTCAGGCGATGCGGGACGCGGCGACATCGTCGGCCGCGTGCGGCGGGGCAGCTGCCGGCGGCGACGGCAGCGGCGGCGGCAGCGGCAGCGGCAACGGCGGCGGCGGCGGCAGCGGCAGCGGCAACGGCGGCGCTCCAACCATCAAAATGGAGGAGGGAGCTCCTTCCTCGTCTGCAACCGGGGCGGGCGCCGCGGCTGTGGTCGCCGCGGACACGGTCATGACGTCCTCGAGTCCCATGGGGCTGTTGGGTGAGAGGGGCGGTGGGCGGTGGGCGGGTGAAAGGGGTCAAAGAGAAAATGAGCACATGAGCCCCGTGCGTGATGAGCTCGTCACGTGTCACGTGACGCAGCTACAAGGAGCCCCAGAGCGTGAAAGGGGGGGAGGAGAGCGGCTGGGCCGGTTCTCGGAGTATGGGGTCGGAGAATAAAAGAAGAGAATAAACGGGGGCCCCTTTTTTGGGGGTATGAGCCGGGCGTGTGTAGTACATCCATTAGTTGTGTGCGGTCACTCGCGGTTGAGGAGGGGGATGGGGAGGGGGAGGAGGGGGGCGAGGGGGAGGAGGGGGGGGAAGGGGAGGAGGCGGGAGAGGGGGAGGGAGGAAGGGGAGAAAGCCGAACCACGAACGAGTGAAGCGAGGAGGGGGGAGGAGGGGGAGCAGGAGGGAGAGGAGGAGGGAGGGGGGAGGAGGAGGGGGAATGGGGAGGAGGGGGAGGAGGGTAACCCAGGTGGGTTCCGATCTTGCCTGGTGTAGCTGGCTGGCTAAGACTTACACTGCAGCGTGAACAACATGGCCTGTCCGCTTTTATTCACATACACGGTCCTATCCCGTGCCGCCTGCCCACCACCCTTGCTGTCGCTATATTCCACCTGCCTTACCGGATCCTCCCCGTGTTGAAGCCCCTCACATTTTGCCTCCCTTCCGGTCCCCTCCCTTGACTCGTTCGTGGTTCGCCTCTCCCCCCCTTGACCTTTTCTTAATGTTCCGCTTGTCCCGCTTCTTGGCTTTTGTCTTTCTTGGGGTTGTGGGGCTCCTTGTGCGTTTGCATGGGGCTCCTTCCTCTCCACTGCCGTGCCGTGCCGTGTGTGCACAGCTGGGGGGGGTCACGTGCTGCCACAGAACATGGACGGCGCCACGGCCAGGTTCACCGCTGAGGCGATTCGCTCCATGTCGGCGGATGACGTCATCGAGGCGTGGAAGGAGAACCTCAAGGAGCTGTCCAGGTGGGGCCATAGGGCCCCCCGGGGGGGGGAAGAAGGGGGGAGGGGAAAGGGCCTTGTAGCCTCGTAGCCTCCCGGTACGCATGTAATGCAAATGTGCAACGTATACCAGGTCCCCTTCCACCCCTAAGCCTTACTGCCGTACCCCCTCTTTTTCCCCCCCCCCCGCCGGGTTCATGCGGTGCCCGCCCCCCCCCCCCCCGCACCACGTACCGGTGCCGGTGCCGGTACCTGTACCGCCTACCTGTGCCGGTGTGCCACCACTACGACGCAGGTACGTGGTGCTGGCGGAGAACCACCCCCCCGGCCAGGCGCTCCCGCCCCAGGTGGTCGCCCGCATCACCTCCGTCACCGCCTCCATGTCGGAGCTGGTACACAAGGTCGCCATGATCTCGCCGCTCAATGTGAAGAGACTCCTGGCCACGAACATGGAGGTGCACGCGATGGTGGGTACTTGTACTGCTGCTTGTACTGCTGCTGGTACTTGTACTGCTGGTACTGCTGTAGCTCTGTGCTCCCGGCCCCCCCTCTCCGCAGTCTGTATTTTTGTTGCTGTCACGTTTTTCCTTCCCGCCCCCTCCCCACCACCACCGGTGTCGCCGGCGCACCCCCCCTAACCCCCCTTGGCTGCCTCCCCTCCGCCGTGACGTCCCCTCAGGTCCCGGTGCCGGAGACTCACTGGGCCCGCGTGCTGCTGGCGCTGGGGCTGTCGGAGCGGCAGCGGAAGGACCTCCTAGGGGCCCGGGAGCGGTTCCTGACCAAGTTTGAGGCGGTGCTGCAGGTGGGGGTGGGGTGGGGGTGGGGGGTGCGGATGGTTGGAGGAAGGAGGGAGGGAGAGGCGGGCGAGAGCTTTAGTAGGGGCCATCACTTTGCAGGTTGTCGTTCTTCACCGTAAGATTGATAGTCGTACCGTTGTACAACCACGGCGTTGCGGAGACACGTTGATGTGTTTTCGTGCTCTGTTTCGGATTGCCCTCGCAGGAGCGCGCCGCCCTGATTAGCAGCCTCTCCCAACAAGCTATCCCGCGGTCCAGGTGGGAGTGGGTGGGTAGGGGAGGGTGTGGGTAGGGGAGGGTGTGGGTAGGGGAGGGGAGTGTGGGTAGGGGAGGGGAGTGTGGGTAGGGGAGGGGAGTGTGGGTAGGGGAGGGGAGTGTGGGTAGGGGAGGGAAGTGTGGGTAGGGGAGGGGAGTGTGGGTAGGGGAGGGGAGTGTGGGTAGGGTAGGGGAGTGTGGGTAGAGGAGGGGAGTGTGGGTAGGGGAGGGGAGTGTGGGTAGGGGAGGGGAGTGTGGGTAGGGGAGGGGAGTGTGGGTAGGGGAGGGGAGTGTGGGTAGGGGTGGGTGTGGGTGAGGCATACGGCCACCGGGACAACGATACCGATATCATCATCATCAGCAACAACAACAACGAGGCTAACAACTACGACAGCAATAACAGCCTTGATCATAACTTATAACCAGCCACCACCTGTTTCCCACCCCCCCTTTCTCCAGGGTGTATGCGGACATCTGCTCCGCCTCTCTGGCTGCTCACGAGGCGGCGGACCGACTGCGGGGCAATCTGCAGAGGGAGCACAACATCAACATGGAGTTTGTCGTGTTCGTGTTCAAGGGGGTCATGGACTTGCTACAGGTGGAGCCGGGAGGGGGTGGGTGTAGTGGGCCACGTGAAGAGGGGGAGGGGGAGGGGATGCATGCAAGCCCAAGCAAAGTATTTTATATTTAGGGCGTCCCAAGCTGCCGCGCATTAGCAAAGCATTTTTCGCCATTGTTGTCGTACTGTGTGCGGCATTGTGTTTTGTCCCTTTCGCAGATCGCCAAGGCTGCTGTACATTCGTACCCGTACTACCCGGACGTACTGGCCATGTCCAATGTGCTTCATGGACAGCAACCCGCCTCGTCGCAACAAGCACAAATGCAGTCACAGTCGCCGCTGCTGAACCAGTCGCCTTCGCAGCCGCCACCGATTCGACTGCCGTCGCCGCAGCTGCAACAGCAGCAACAGCAACAGCAGCAGCAGCAACAGCAGCAACAACAAATGCTCATGATGATGCCATCACCTCAACAACAACAGCAGCAGCAACAGCTGAATGGTGCCACGGCGCTCGGTGGGGGGCTTCGTACGACATGCAGTGTACCCATGGGTGCTGCCGTACTGTACGGCTCCAGGGTATCGCAGCCGCTCCCACCTGCCATGGCGTCAGGCATGGCCGGCGGGGTCGGCAACGGCGGTGTCGTACCTGGCAGCTCAGGCGGCAACAGCTGTGGCGGCGGCGGCGGCGGCGGTGGCGGTGGCGACATCCTCGGCGGCGGTGGCGGCGGCGGCGGCTTGATGGGAATGGGCGTAAGCGGCGGCGGCGGCGGCGGCCTGGGCGCTATGGGAATGGGCTCCATGAGCTTGAGCATGGGCGGCATGGGCATGGGAGTGGGCGGGCTGTGCTCCTTGACCGGCACCGGCGGGTCGGGATCTGCCGTCGCTTCGATGATGGGCTACCAACACCAACAGCCGCTGCTGCAGCAGCAGCAGACGACGCTGTCGCAGCAGTTGCTGCAGCCGCAGCAACTGCAAGAAGACAGCCGGATGGCAGACGGCTGATGAGGTGCAGATGCCGGGTGTGTGGGGGGGCCGCGTATGTGTGGAGGGGTGGAGGTGTGTGTGTGTGTGTGTGCACAGGGGCCCGAAAAAATGCAGGTCCTGCGGAAATCGCGTCGAAGGAACGGATAGGAGGGCCCGACGGACATCATCCTACGCCCTCTCCCGCTCTGGACAGGTCGAGAGGCACCACCGCTGGCTGGTCACCCATTCCCTGGAGGGCCCAGCAGCGGTATCGACTGGAGACTGGAGAGCGTCCGGAGCGCAAATACACGCACTGCCTGTCTGTCTGTCGCCTTTTGCTATGGATGGATGGCTATAGCGTATTTAGTTTCCTCTGCAGACCAGACCAGACCGCGTTGCAACGTTTCGGGGCTTTGGCATCCCCTAAAGTTCTTCCCCTAAAGAGGAACTTTAGTTCTTCCCCTGGGCGTTGCTTTCAGCTCAGGTCTCGGCTGGTCTTACCGGGTGCGCGCTATCGGGTCCGGGTGCGAGATACCGCCTGATGTGGAGATGCATGTCCTGTCCGCCATTACATTTTCAGCGCATGAGGATTTGTTTTTCCTTTCCTGACTGCATATCGTCTTTTTATCCTATTGCCCCTGGGCGGAGGAGGGAGGAGGAAGAGGAGGCGCAGGAGGAGGGGGAGGAGGAGGAGGAGGAGGCGGCGGCGGCTTGGGCGTGATATGTCTTGAGGCGGAATGGGGGAATAAGGGGGAATCAGGTCCCTATCTGTGCGCACTACACACGTGCACGTACATACATACGTACATGTGTACGAGGCACATGCACACGTTCACTCACACACACACGCAGGCCGCCGGTTTAGGGCTATCCTAACGCATAATGCACAAACACACGAGGGCAGTATAAGCACATCCGCGCATACGTGTGCGCCGCACGCATGCACATGCACGCATGCACATGCACGTGTGGCGTATCGCGAAGGGCTTTTGCGGCCGTCTTGCCTTGCTGCGTGTATGTCTGTATGTATGTATGTGCCGCCGGCGCGTCGGCGGCAGAGAGAGGATGCACCTTGCAAGAGGGATATCCACCCCACCCCACCCCACCCCACCCCACCGCATCGCACCGCACCGCCCGTGGGGGATCCATTCGGTGGCAGCAGCGCATCTCAAGGAGAATGGCATATAGGGGTATATATTATTTATGAAGCTGTGATAAGGACGACAGCGATGCGAAGGTGGGACTACTTGCGAATGCTGTGCTGTGGCGGTGGCGGTGGCTGTGGTGGTGGGGGTGGGGGTGGTTGGCGGGTTGCGTGGCTAATGGAGGTTCGGAAAAATTGCGGCATATTGCAGCACGCTAACATTTGAAGGAAGACTTTCCTTTTTACTTTCCCTTTTAGGATGGATTGCCGCACGGGGCATCTAGGGGATGAGGAGCCTCTGGACGTGTAGGCGGTGTTTTGGGGTGGGGCCGGTCGGGGCCGGGGCCGGGGTGGGACACGGGGGAGAGCGGGGTGAGGCATAGCCAGGATGTGGGGAAGGGACACGGGGCAGGGGTTTGGGCTCGGGGAGGCCGCGTGTGTGGCTTGCTGCGTGACGTGTTTTGTCGTCGTCACCTTTGTCTTCAGTCTTTGTCGTCTTTATGCATTACGCAAATGGAGCAAGGGATGGGATCTCTCTCTGACTCTCCCGATTGTGGTGTGGATGTGTTCCGGTTCCTTTCCTGTCCGTTTCAGCTCTCACTGCTCTGATCTGATCTGATCCCGCCACCCTCCTCCTCAACAACAACAACAACAAGTACACTCACACGCACGCTGCCGCCGTAATGCTGTCGGTTGGAGAGAGAGTGAGAGATATACACTCACTCTGACTGTGTGAGTGTGTTTTTGTGTGTGTTAATGCTAGCGTAGCCAAGGTCAAATGGGAAGATGATTGTGACGGTGATGTGGTTTGGATGCGCAGGGGTATGGATGAGAAGAACGGGTTGCCTTACCTTACGCTTCTTAGGTACGGCTGGCCATCGCCTGGGGGAGGGCGGGGACCCGGGCGCCTGGGGGGGTGCAGAAAAGGTGTTTTGTTTTTGTGTTTACCCGGGGTGAAGTGAGAGGTCGCGTGGAGGGGGCGTGTGTACGATGTCATGACGTCATTCCCGACAGGAAATGTCGCTGTCACCGGCGGGGCCAGTGGCTGTGAGTGGGTGCGGCTCTGAATGCGGCCCCTCGGGTCCCTCACCGCTCCTACTGCGGGAGAGAGGAGGTTGTTGGCTGCTGGTGGTGGTAATGGTGTTGGTGCTGCGCCTAGTGTGACAGTGACAATGACAGGGTTACCGAGAGGGCGCAGGAGGGGTACTACCTCCCGGAGCAAATGGCGCGCCAGGTAGGTTGGTAGGTAGGTAGGTAGGTAGGTTGGTAGGTAATAGCCGGGCGCCGCGTTCAGCGCTATCGCGTTCTGCGGTGGCGCGTTCTGAAATGGCTTGTCGGGTTGGGTCATTATGGCTGGGGGGGGAGGGGGGGGATGTCTGTCAGGGAAATATGGTGTATGTGTGTGTATTGACTGTATGTATGTCTGTATGTGTATGACTGGAAAGGAGGAGGAGGAGGAGTATACGAGGGGAACCCTGGGCGGTAGCGCAAGGTGTAAGGGGTGTAAGGGGCATCTGGGAGTACGGCGCATCCCTGTGTGCCCGGGAGCGACTGATGCCGCCCACACAGAGAACGCAGCCCAAAACAGCTCCCTCTGCGTTCAGCCCTTCCTCGGCTCCGCACCGTCTTCTTCAAAGAGACGGATATAAACAACTTTAAAACGAGTGCTTAGGCGCTGTATATGAACTGTACCGGCGATTTCGTGTTTAATTTAAACCGGGGGGCGCACTGGGGTGTTTAATTTCCTGAATTTATGATGGTGGCAAATGGTTCATACGGCCATCTTGATGCGAGGGTGCGCTCTCCCTAAATACCTGCCTACCTACCTGCCTGCCTACCTGCCTACTTGCATATCGAAGGCGGGCGACTCGAGGGTTTTCAAGCCTGTGACGTTCATCGTGGAGGCATCGCCCCAAGTCGAAGTCGATGGGATGAATGCCGCGATGTTCTGGTGAACGCGGCAGGCAGGTTGGGGTGTTGGGCGATTGGTTGTTGCTGCTTGCACGCGATGTCAAAAGGCGCGGGGACGGGGGCCGAAAGGTGGTCTGGGTTGTGGGTGACCCCTGCTGACGTCTTTGTGTGCGCCCCGCCTGTATGTGCGCCGCTTGTGTGTGTCTGTGTGTGTGTGTGTGTGATGTAAACATGTTTAATCCAATTAAGGCGTTGAACGTCCTTTGCTTCCATTTCTGTTTCCGTTAGTCGGTTAGTTGGTTCCGATTTATGGTTGGTTGCGATGCTGTGCCCCCCTGCATGGGAGCCTCCATGGCGAAAGATAAAGGAGGCAGCGTAGCCCGCTTTGTTGAGAGCGGTTATGCAGTTTGATAATTGCGCTGACGGGTGGTGGTAGGAGGTGATATTCCATATGCTTCTCAGCTGTGCGTCTTGGCTGGGTCCTGATTTCCGAGTTTTCCTGGCAGGAAATGTTTTGTTGCCATTGTGCCCGTGAGGGCTTATGTATCGCATGGAGAACTGTGAAAGGGACTCGGGCGTGAGCGCGTTGGCGTCGTCTCGTACATTTAAGGTCTGGTAAGCGAGTTTTCGTACGCCTTCCCATGCGCGCATCCTAAACCGTGTGTTCTGCGCTGTGTTGATGATGATTTGGTAGATGATGATTAGTGATGACGATGATGGTGATGATGATGGTGATGATGATGACGACGACTATGAAGGTAATGATGGTAATGTTGACGACGTGATATGTTAACCTCACTAGCATCGGGTCGGTCAACAAGCGCGGCAGGCCTTCCCTGTCTTTGATGTTTCGGTTCTTGCCCGTAACAACAGATGGATGTCTTTAAGGTGGTGTTGGCTTTGCCCCTTGGTAGTTCTAGTCCTGAATAATCAAATTGAACCAGAGCTATACATGTGATGATGTCGTTGCTGACCGCTCTTAGAAACGTTCATACTAAATCTGGTGTGACTTGAACCCACGACCTCGCGCTTCTATTGCGAGCGCCAGTGGGGGCGCATGTAGCAAAGTGGCTTGGTGCTGCAGTGCCAACAAATACGACATAACATAGAACCCTGTATCTCCCCATCCTCCATCCTTAACAACAACACAACGGCAACAACGGGCATATAAGGTAGCCTCTACCGGTACTCTTTCCTCATCGGCCGTTGCGCCCCCCGTGCGAGCCTAGACTGTTATTATTTTATATGAGAGCGCTTTACACCACCACCAGCCTTGAAGTGGGGAAGCAGCTCCCCTTGCCAAGGCATAAGCGCGCTTGTCTTCTGACTTCATTCGAGCCGCCTTCTTGCGGCCTCCGGGGGCCGAGGGGGGCAGCGAGGCGGACGGCGCAGAGAGAGAGAGCGAGCCTGCGAGGTGAGGCGGGCCGCGCGCCGAAGGAGGCCAGCTGGCCGCGCGCTCCTCTACTGGTGTGGGGGCGTGGGCTGGGGCTGGGGCTGGGACGCCCGCAGCGATTCCTCGTTGAAGCCTCTATCTGCCACACCCTCAACAGAGTTTGAAGAAAGAACGTGCGTGAGATCGTGCCGCTGGTGCTCGCTCTCGCTCTAATGCATACCGGGGCCATCAGCAACTGCCATCGTTGCTCCCGACGGAAGCGTATCCCGACGGGCTCGTACTGCGCGTGTACGGCTATGGATGTGTGGATGGGCCCATGTGCTTGTGTGTGTCATTCATTGTGTGTGGCATTGTCCGCTCCCAGCCGCCCAGCCAGTCGGTCTATAGCCAACCAGCCTGTCAGCCAGCCTGCCAGCCAGCCAGCCAGCCAGCCTGCCAGCCAGCCAGCCAGTCGGTCTATAGCCAGCTGCCTGTTTATTTAGATGGTTGATGATGGCGAAAATTTGCATTAACACAGCGTGCTGCGGCCTTTGCCTGCGTGGTGGTAGTGGTTATGGGCCGCCATCTCTTACTGTAGCATATATGCACAATTATGCACGATAGATGCACAAACCATGAACCGCCCTGCGTTTGTTGCTTTCAGTCCTGGGCTGGCGTGCTGCCGTGCGTGTGGGTCTTCTATCTTCTACCCCACGACGCGAGGCGGGTGGATGGTTCAAG